CAAATTTGAAATAGTTTGATTCGTCAACCCCAGCGACAATGAAAATTGATTTTAATTTGGACAGCCTTAAGCAAACATTCCGGTGGACTTTATACATAATTGATTCCTTAGAGCTCAATTCTTTCTTTGATGTACCAGATTTTGTTGTTCTCTAACAAAAGGGATATTTATCTAAATAATTAGATTCTGTTCTAGAACCACTTCCACTAATTTCAATGTTTTGATCTTCCAGAATAACACTGGAATTTTCATTTTGCTCAGAATGGGTTGGATTTGTGGTAGCCTCTCCAGAAGGAGGTTCATTGAATAAAACTATAGATACTGAACTGGGACCTGGTTTAGTAAGATGACTATTATTTGAATTTAAAACTGTATTGGGGGACACTGGTATGGTAAGATATCTGAGACGTGAAGGATCTTGCGGATTATTACGATTAAACATTGATCAATGATCCTCACAAACATAATAATTGGAAACTTTACGAGTGGGAGATATCTTACAAGCTGCCTTCCATGCAGCAACAGTTTTATCATCTTTCGGAAAACGATGGAATACTTTATTTTTGTATATACAAGCAGATTTCCTAACAATGTGCAAATAGGAATGTTTGCAAGGACATTTGCATGAGTACTTTAAAGTAGCGATGTACGAAGAGGCAACCCCAAATCCAGACAAAAGAAAAACAAACTTATTGAAGTATGCAATCTTAAGTATTCCTGCACACAATCACAAGTGTTTGAAAAATATATGACAAAGGTTATTATTACTGTTATTATATGAAGATTATGAACGATGATTTCTCGATTGGGAATTGAATCAATAATTAAAAATTTAATGTGTAGCTTACCCGATTCAAAACACAGATTGAAAACAAAATGGATGTTCTCAGGGAAAGTCAAACTGTCGTTTGTCAAAAATCAAACTCTGTTGGTAAGAAAGTGTCCTAGATTTTGCCTGGAGATTTATGTGTTTTGTGCCTGGAGAGAATGACCTTGTTTTATTTTATTGTCTAAACAAACTGTATTGCTAATTTGCATGTATCCGACAAAGATGGACGATGTTTTCATGTTGCATGGTCGATCATATCTGGAAGATGAATAGTTAGGTTATATTAAAGCAGGTTAGGTTATTTTTGAGTAATAATTTGGTCTTTGGTGTTCCTGTCTTAAGGTATTCTACTCATAACAGTTTTTTCAAAACAAAAACTCCCCACTAAAATTATTATTAAGGTATCACTCAAAACCATGAAATAAAATGAAAATAAAAGTAATCAGTGAAATAACCTAACTTCGCAAAGTCATAATATAAATTTGTTGTCATTATGTTCCTGACATCGTCATTTTATCATCGACGTACGTCCATTGATTACTTCGGTACAATTTATGGTATAACATAATAGTCATCTTTCGTGATTTTGATTATATGCACCTATGCACTGCCCTTTCCTTTCAGCTATGGTATACAACTTAAAGCTTAGACCTCCAACAATGCCATCTTTGAAGCAGATTTTACATCACATCAGAGCCAAACATTGATAGCTGAAGCATCATGACATTTAGGCAACACGTACAGCTGCGGAACGAGTAGACAACAGCCGAGCCATTCAGAATGTCGGAATACATGAGATTTCAGTCATATTAACCAAAACCACTCTTCTGTCGATCTATCGATCAGTAGCTGAATAAAACTTACACCCCATTATACTGACTTGGACTACCTATATTTTGAGACCCGTTGAGTTTTGGCGCCTATGCTCATCTAGGCATTTGCTCAATATGCCGAGACACATAACATATAAAATTCAGCGAAATTAACCTAAACGTGTTGTCGGGTCCTTTATTTGGCAGACACCTCGAACGGGAGTGATCGATGTCGAGGTGTTCGCTTAACAAACTTGCGACGTTAATTTCACAGACTATAACCAAATTCAGGTGCTTGTATCTCCATAGGGGAGTAGCGTATTGCTTTTCGTACATGATAGATATTGCGTCATAGGTGGGATCCCGGGCTATCGGTTCTCTGGACGATCCATACATATTCAGGAACTATTGACATTAAGCGGTGTACCAGGTGGTTCGTACATATATTGAATCCGTGCGGGTCTGAGACGCGATGACGGATTACTGATGAGTTTTAATTGAGAATAGTCTGGAACGTGAATCACGTACTGGCACCAAGCTGCTGCTGTAATGAGAAGGCAATTTTAGCAGCTTCAGTAATTGAATTTCACCGCAGACGGACGAGATGCAATTTGAATGAATCGATTTTTCCTTAGACACGTCCGTGAAACAGAATTAGAGATTTTTAGAATAAACGCTAAATGCAGGACCATTAACAGCCCAATCGTCCGGAAGCTTTACCAGCAAAGCTTCCCAGAAGTTTATGTACACAGATTCACGATCAACGTAGGTACTCTTTCAGGATTTCGACTTTGCAAATCTTATTAGGCAATGCAAACTATAGCGTAATATCATGAAGTATCGTATTTTGCTGGTGAAGATAAGGTCAGCGCGTACGCAGAGGAATCAAATATCCTTAAATGTCTTCCGTGTTGTATCACAAAAAGCTTCGCTGGGTAACTCGTTTATTAAACGTCAAAGTTGGAAAAATTACTTATTTCTTGCGTATATTTGAAAAACCACGAAGTAATGGCTCAAGTGGTTTATTGAATGTTTGAAGAGGATGGGGATATCTTCAAAATGTTTAATTTGCTACAGCAGTTACGCCGCGCTAGACAGCTGGAAAAAATTACCATTAACCTCAAAAAATTGAGCATTTTAGATGATTTTTTTTATGTGAATCGCTACAGAGGCGTCAAGTTTTAATTATTGTTCCATGGTTTTTGTTATGCATTTTTTGTGTAAAAAACAAATTGGGGAATTTGAGATTATATAGGCTAAAAAAGTTAACCGCCTCAGCAAACTGATGACTATATGAAATCTCATTCTGAAGATCTTTTCATGCTCTGCAACTTTGCTTTGAACCATCTTTATCAATACTCTCTAGTTTTGTGAATGTACGGGAAAACCTGATTTCTGTCAACCTTGTCGGTTAACGAAAAATTACCCAACGAAAAGTTTTGAATATCGAGATGGATAACCCTGTTATAAAGTCCCTGTATACGTTTTTATTTTTTTTTTATTCTACATATCCTGGTATAGAGGACCTCACGTTTGAACTTCGACAGGTCGCTGAGAGATCATTGTTTAAAATTATGTTTAATTATGGATAATTAAAAATTGATCGAATTTGTTCGAATCGGTTGACATGCTCTGACCTAAAAGTTAACTAGGAACCACATGTCAAACTGTCGATGCACCCAACGACACTAACTATTCCCATTCGAGGTATTGGCGTCATAAACTTGCGATGTTAATTTTTGGTCCATTCGACGACATCGCCTACTCCCTACTCCTGTTTGGGATGTTTACATAGATTGTATAATAAACTTGCGTGGCTAATTTCACCAGATTATATTTTTTGATCCATCAACTACTTTCGTTTGAGATGTTTTCCTGATAACCTTGTGATACTAATTTCATCCGACTATTTTCTTTAATGCATCAGAGACATCAACTACTTCCGTTTGATATGTTTTCCTGCTAACCTTGAGATACTAATTTCACCCGAATATATTCTTTAATGCATCAGAGACATCAACTACTTCTGTTTGAGATGTTTTTCTGATAACCTTGAGATACTAATTTCACCCGATTATTTTTTTAATGCATCAGAGACATCGACTACTTCCGTTTGAGATGTTTTCCCGATAACCTTGAGGTACTAATTTCACCAGACTATTTTCATTAATGTATCAGAGACATCAGCTACTTCCGTTTTAGATAAACATCATCAGGAAAACCCCTGATAACCTTGAGATACTAATTTCACCAGACTATTTTCTTTAATGCATAGAGGCATCAACTACTTCCGTTTTAGATAAATATCATCAGGAAAACTGCTGATAATCTCGAAATACTACTTTCACTCGACTATTTTCTTTAAAGCATCAGAGACATCGACTACTTCCGTTTGAGATGTTTTCTTTTTAACCTCGAAATACTAATTTCATCAGACTATTAATTTTATTTAATGCATCAGAGACATCAACTACTTCTGTTTGAGATTTTTTCCTGATAACTTTGAGATACTAATTTCACCAGATTATTTTCTTTAATGCATCAGTGATATCAGCTATTTCCGTTTGAGATGTTTTCCTTATAACCTTGAGATACTAATTTCACCAGACTATTTTCTTTAATGCATCAGAGACATCAACTACTTTCGTTTGAGATGTTTTCCTGATAACCTTGAGATACTAATTTCACCAGACTATATTCTTCAATGCAGCAGATACATCAGCTACTTTCGTTTGAGATGTTTTCCTGATAACCTTGAGATACTAAGTTCACCAGACTATATTCTTTAATGCAGCAGAGACATCAACTACTTCCGTTTGAGATGTTTCCCTGATAGCATGGAGATACTCATTTCACTAGACTATTTTCTTTAATGCATCAGAGACATCAACTACTTCCGTTTGAGATGTTTTTGTGATAACCTTGAGCTACTAATTTCACCCGACTATTTTCTTTAATGCATCAGAGACATCAATTATTTCCGTTTGAGATGTTTTTCTGATAACCTCGAGATACTAATTTCACCAGACTATTTTCTTTAATGCATCAGAGACATCAACTACTTCCGTTTGAGATGTTTTCCTGATAACCTTGAGATACTAATTTCACCCGACTATCTTCTTTAATGCATCAGAGACATCAACTACTTCCGTTTGAGATGTTTTCCCTATAATCTCGAGATACTAATTTGACCCGACTATATTATTTAATCCATTCTGAGACGACGGCCTTTCCCGTTTGTATTTTTTCATCGAAATACTCCTGAATTGTGGGGACACAGGGAAACAATTGCAACATATATTGTTGATGCAATTTTTTATTGGAATTTAATTATTTTGTAAAAAAACATACAAAAGAAAACCATACCACAAAAGCATATATTATGTCATTTTATACTCTTATACATTAATAATAATAAATAAAAAGGAACCAAACTATATACAGATAACATGCATAATTACCGTGTATCATCATATCAAGTATACATCATCAGAAACAATAAAGTATATGCATTCTTCATAGCACAATCATTTTTTAAATCGATCAATAAATATTTTTATATGAATTACTCAATGAAATACAATTACAAATCTGTCATTTTGTCCTAACTCTAGAACTCGGTTTGAAAGTTATAGGAATAATTTTTTGTAATAAATTGTTATGATATAGCCTCTATCAGCGATCTCATTTCGAAAAAATGTGATGTTGCTTAGATGCACCCTCCTAACTTACGATAATAATAAATTAATGAAAAAGTTATTATCACAGTATGAAAGAAGAACCTAATAGTCCTCAGGTTCCTCATAGTAATTATATCCGAAGTCTTCATTTTCATCATCAGCTCCTTCCCTGTGTTGTTGTAACATCTGGAGAACACCCATCTCATTTGGTGGTTCTTCCACAGGTGGTTCTTCATCGTAATCATCCTCCATTTCCTCTTCAGAAGCTGTAATGGGAAAAACATGTCATTAAAAGTCAACATATCTAGGTCTTTTTGCGGTTTTTGGCGGATCACAATGTCAAAATTTGGTCTTACTAACATTGACAGTTAAGTTTTGTTATTGCACTATTTTTGATTGATTTTATATCAGTGTCAATTTTTGACATAATTTCGCTTATACTTTGCCTTGCCAAAGTATTGTGGCACTTTCAGCAAAAGCTATGAATTTATCATTTATGTTTAAATTTATTGATATAATCGTCAACATAAACTAAAAGTAGGGTCGGACCTAGTACGGATCCTTGAGGTACCACTGCTTTTATATTTAATTTATTTGAAGCGGCACATCAAGAGCATCAAATGAAAGCTTAGCTTAAAGAAACTCCTTTTTATTTTTTATCTTAATATTGACTGCAGATCATAAATGGCTGAAGGATAAAGTAAGGATTTCTCATCTATATTTATATGAATCAGATTTTTAACAGGTCATCATTATGTTTATAGTACTTTTTAAGTTTTCTGATATTGTGTGGTAATAGTCATTTAGTACGTCGGGACTTATAGGTGGTATGCCTGTTAATTCATTTATGATTGTCCTTGCTTCCTTGATTTTATTTGCTGCATTAATTATTTTCTGTTTATAAAAATTCTTTTTCAACCTAAATTGATTGTTATATATTCTATAATCGATCAAAGTAAATGCTGAAAAAATGCAAGCAACTCCGAAAAATTGTAGTTAAAGCCGTACTCTGACAGTGACAGGCACATATGTCGAAGACTCATACCGTGAAGACAGCTATAAATATAATGTAATACGTCTAATATTTACCTGCGTTTATACTTTCTTCTGGTCTCTGCACATTCTCATGCTTAACATCCGCCTGTTCTTTCTTCAAAGTCGACAGCACAACAGTTTCGTTCTTTACCGTTGGTTTCACCGCTCCTTTACTGAGATTTGGAGCAGGCTTGCTAAACCTGAAAAAAAAATGTTCATCATCAATCGATGAAAATAAAAAAGTAGCCTGTTGCTAAATTAACGCGCTAGTTGTTCAAAAGGCATGGTCGTATGAGTGATTATAAAAAATGGTACGGTATTTTATATTTCACATATATAAAATTAAACAATTGTCTTTCTAGTTCTTCTGTGGACTGTGACCACAATTTCGTTGACTTTAACCAAACTAAAAATGCATTTTTTGTGCATTCTTTTTTCAATCGGAACTTGTTAACAAATATAAGTACAGCTCAGAAATTGTGTGCGAATATTCCGCTTTCATGGAAGAATGTAATGAGTAATTACTTATGTTCTTATCACTTTTCCTTTTCGAAAAATCTTTCATTTTCTTGAAGCCTGGTCTTGCAGCAAGTTGAGTTTTAATTCTTCCATAAAAGAGGAATATTTACACACAATTTCAAAGCTGTGCTCATATTTATTAATAAGTTCCGATTGAAAAAAAAATATACAATAAAATGCACAACAATGCATTTTTTGACAAAAAAGTCATCTCTATACACACCATGAAATTATCAGATGAAATGGATTTAAAGTACTGCTGCAAACTGGAAGTTGTAAAAAAATCTAAAAAAGGGACGTGCCACCTTAAATGTCCAAGTACTATTTCTCACGTTTGCATAACAATTAACCGGTGCGTTACGACCAGAGTTCTGGTTGGGTTTTCGCGTTCTTTTAGAGGGTTTTTGGCGTTTTCGGGACGATGGACGAGGGTGACATATCTGGTACATTTAAACAAATGACAGATAACATCATGCTCGCTTGTCGTTTTGGAGGGTTGGACTTTTTAGGAGCGGAAAGGCCTAACCCTAGGTGGCCTTGAGTGATGCCATCTTCGCGCAGGTTATGAGACCTTTCATTCTATTACAGTCAGACTCTGTATAGGAATATGAAAATGAAGAGAAAAAACAAACGGAGTGTCACCTGGAAAACTGATAAATAAAGTATATTGTGAAAGTTATTATACTGAAGAAGGTCTCCATTGCGACCGAAACTTTCGTATGTTTACAATGACTAACAAAAAGAAGTGCTCAAAAATAAAAGTCGTTTTTGAAGATCCTATATGCTCCAGAACCCAATAATATTCCCTGGACGCCTTCTTAATATTGCGTATAAAAATATTCATATTCTTATATTCTGCATATCAAGAAACTAACCTGCTACTAAATTCCTTTTTATCTTCTTCTCCAAACACCTTTTCATCCGGTTTGGCTTCGTGTTGCACCTCGCTGCTGCCCACTCCAACAGAAGTCAAACTTTTCAGCACGTCGTAATTGATCTTGGTGGATATTTTCTTTTCCTGCATCAAATATTAAACTTAGCAAGGTAAAAAAAATCAACTACTAAATTAAACACGCAATACTGCCACATGCGAAAAGCATGAAGGGTGCTCAAAGCCATGAGTATACTCGAAAATTTGGAACAACCCAGGAAACTAAAAACCAAAAAAATTCCAGATGCGAAGTCGAATATTCCCTGGCCGCAACAGAACTTTTCCATCAGAAAAGTTTTTCCCTATAGTCCATTTATAGAAGAAACTTAACTTAAAAATATCCACGCACACGTCACATGATCGGACTGGTTATTTTTTGGTTTAATGTATTTCTTGGATAATGTACTATAGAATCATCATTTTGTTAGCAGCAAATCCTAATTTTCCTGAACTATTTCGGAATGCAATAGGCCAGGAAACTTGAACTTTTTCTTATCGAAAAATTCCAACGATTCCAGACTATTTAAAATAAGACAATCAATTCTCATAGTCCGTACTGAGGATCAAAGTGCTCTTGACAAAAGTCATTTTTTTGACAATTCGTATATTAAGTGCTATTTCTTAAAGATGCGAATGTTTGATTGTGGTGTGATGATGGTGATGATTTCAGAACATGGTATTTCTTACATAATTTGCAAAGAGCCGCGCAAGTCTAATGAAGATAGATGTTTCCACCGGTAAATATTAGTATTATTATGTTGATACAACGCTGTCACTTTGACAGGCACTGGTAGACAAACACATCAAACCTATGCACTAAAGTTATGCAATCATGGCGACAAACAATGCAATGCAAACATGTAGGCTTGGCTCCTAATCTATACGAATTCGTTGGTTAAAATTCTCCATTTTTTTCAGAAGAACGAGGCTAATATGCCCGGCCTATTTGTAATAGGCCAGGGACATTAAACATTTTCTGTTGAAAAAATAATCGTGGAGTTTCAGATAAGACGTTTGAAACTGTACGTAGGGAGTAAAAGTACATACCTGGAGAATTTTCTCAATAGCTTCTCCAGCAGAAGCGGCAGCCGCGATTGTTCGTTTCCGACCTCCACGTTTTCTTTTTCGATCAGTTTTTCCAGTACCTGCACCCGCTCCTTGTCCTGCTTCTTCGCGCTCCTTTGCTAGCCGTTCCGCTTTAGCTGCAATGGAATATTTCCACATTTAATAACTGAAGATTGCTGTCAATCATTTCATAAAATTCATTAGAAGGCAGAAATATGAACAATCCATGCTGAAAAGGCTGTCGGATCTTTTTGCGCGCTTAGTGACGCGTGCTTTGCGCCATCTCAAAAACACCCGTGGTCACAGTTGTACTATTCAGTCACCTCATGATTCTTAGGGGCGATACTGATACCAGTAGGCAGAATTTTTCTTTTGGCCATGGATGATGTGATTGTTCGTATGTAAATGTCACAAGCACACGTGTTTTCCTTTAAGAGAAAGTGTAACGCCCCCTGTTTTTCCTTATAGTTCCACGGTAACCTCAGATATTTAAACCTCAAGTATAAAACAAAGTAAAGTGAGCGTGACGCAAGATTGCGAGGATCTTGATGGGGAAATTACGTTCTCTTTCATGTCCGTTGTAAAAAATGCTTTGATTCCGGCAAAACACAGGCAGTAATTGGAAAATACGTAAAAGACAGCGAGGAGGGGCGTGAAACCATCCACATTCACGTTTCTCAATGATAATCAGGAATGAGGATGGAAAGATTTCTTTTTTTTGCCTGTTTTCTTGAAAAACGCTTCGATTCTGCTATAAAGCCGACATCATCGAAGAAACGTTTCTCGAGTGTCTGGATGTCGAAATTAACTTATCTTTCTTACCTGTCTTGAAAAACGCATGGATTTTGGGCATAAAATACCGACACTGATCGGAGAACACTTGAAAGCAAGATCAAGAAATCAAACGGGATTTCTCGGTAAGAGTCTGACTGGTGAAATCGCATCATTTTTCTCATCCGTCTTGAAATACGTGTTACTTCGGGCAAAAAATACCGACAGTAATGAGAGAACAAGTGACGCCGAGAATGAGGAATCAAAAAAGGAAGAGAAACCATTCACCTTCATGAGAGTCTGAATGCAGAAGTTAAATTACCTCACTCGTCTTGTGAATCGCTTGGATTCGGCTATAAAACCAACATCATTGAAGAATACGTGAAACCGAGAGTGAAACAGCAAAACAGGGCGAGAAACCGTTCACATTCACCTTTCTCGCGTGACGGGTTTTACGATGAGAGTCTGAATAACGAAGTTGAATTACCTTTCTTACCCGTCTTGAAAAACGCTTGAATTCAGGGCATAAAACAGACATCATCGAAGAATTCGTGAAACCGAGAATCGAACAGCAAAAAACTGCGAGAAACCATTCACATTCACGTTTCTCGGGTGTTCAAGATTGTGCACGAATTTTACGATGCGATTCTGCATGACGAAATTGAATTATCTTTCTTATTCGACTTGAAAAACGCTTGCATTTGAGGCATAAAATACCGACACTGATCGAACACTTGAAACCAAGATCGAGAAATCAGAAACGCTTCTTGGGCGTCCACGGGACTTCTCGATGAGAGTCTGAATGGTAACATTGCTTCACTTTTCACACCTGTCTTGAAAAAACGTTTTGATTCAGGCAAAAAAATACCGATAGTAATGGGAGGCCAAGTGAAGCCGAGATTGAAATGTCAAAAAAGGTCAAGAAACCATTCACATTCACGCTTCTCGAATTTTCACGGGGCTTTATGCTGAGAGTCTGGATGAAGAATTTAAATGACCCCACTCGTCTTGAGAATCGCTTGGATTCGGCCATAAAACCGACATCATCGAATATTTCGTGAAACCGAGAGTGAAACAGCAAAACAGGGCGAGAAACCATTCACATTCAGGTTTCTCGCGTGTCCACTTGTTTTACAATGAGAGTCTAAATAACGAAGTTGAATTACCTTTCTTACCCATCTTGGAAAACGCTTGAATTCAGGGCATAAAACAGACATCATGGAAGAATTCGTGAAACCGAGAGTGAAACAGCAAAACAGGGCGAGAAACCATTCACATTCCCGTTTCTCGCATGTCCACTTGTTTTACAATGAGAGTCTGAATAACGAAGTTGAATTACCTTTCTTACCCATCTTGAAAATCGCTTGAATTCAGGGCGTAAAACAGACATCATCGAAGAATTCGTGAAACCGAGAATGGAACAGCAAAAAACTGCGAGAACCGTTCACATTAACGTTTCTCAGATGTTCACGACTGTTCACGGGTTTTACGATGCTAGTCCGGATAACGAAGTTGAGTTTTCTTTCTTTCTCGACTTGAAAACCGCTTGCATTTAAGGCATCAAATACCGACACTGATCGAACACTTGAAACCGAGATCGAGAAATCAGAAACGCTTCTTGAATGGCTACGGGACTTCTCTATGAGAGTCTGAATGGTAAAATCGCTTCACTTTTTTCTCCTGTCTTGAAAAAACGTTTTGATTCGGACAAAAAATACCGATAGTAATGGAAGACCAAGTGAAGCCGAGATTGAAAAATCAAAAAAGGTCAAGAAACCATTCACATTCACGCTTCTCGAATTTTCACGGGGCTTCATGATGAGAATCTGAATGAAGAAGTTAAATTACCACATCATCTTGAGAATCGCTTGGATTCTTCTATAAAACCGCCATCATCGAAGATTTCGTGAAACCGAGAGTGAAACAGCAAAAGAGGGCGAGAAACCATTCACATTCACGTTTCTCGCGTGTTCACGGGTTTTACGATGAGAGTCTGAATAACCAGGTTGAATTACATTTCTTACCCATTTTGAAAAACGCTGGAATTCAGAGCATAAAACAGACATCATCGAAGCATTCGTGAAACCGAGAATGGAACAGCAAAAAAACTGCGAGAAACCATTCTCATTAACGTTCCTCAGATGTTCACGATTGTTCACGGGTTTTACGATGCTAGTCCGGATAACGAAGTTGAGTTTTCTTTCTTTCTGGACTTGAAAACCGCTTGCATTTAAGACATCTAATACCGACACTGATCGAACACTAGAAACCGAGATCGAGAAATCAGAAACGCTTCTTGAATGTCTACGAGACTTCTCGATGAGAGTCCGAATGGTAAAATCGCTTCACTTTTCTCACCTGTCTTCAAAAAACGTTTTGATTCGGTAAATAAATACCGATAGTAATGGGAGGCCAAGTGAGGCCGAGATTGAAAAATCAAAAAAGGGCATGAAACCATTCACACTCACGTTTCTCGAATTTTCACGGGGCTTTATGCTGAGAGTCTGGATGAAGAATTTAAATGACCCCACTCGTCTTGAGAATCGCTTGGATTCGGCCATAAAACCGACATCATCGAAGATTTCGTGAAACCGAGAGTGAAACAGCAAAACAGGGCGAGAAACAATTCACATTCACGTTTCTCGCGTGTCCAGTTGTTTTACAATGAAAGTCTGAATAACGAAGTTGAATTACCTTTCTTACCCATCTTGAAAAACGCTTGAATTCAGCGCGTAAAACAGACATCATCCAAGAATTCGTGAAACCGAGAATGGAACAGCAAAAAACTGCGAGAACCATTCACATTAACGTTTCTCAGATGTTCACGATTGTTCACGGGTTTTACGATGCTAGTCCGGATAACGAAGTTGAGTTTTATTTCTTTCTCGACTTTTAAAACCGCTTGCATTTGATGCCTTAATCAAATACCGACACTGATCGAACACTTGAAACCGAGATCGAGAAATCAGAAACGCTTCTTGAATGTCTACGGGACTTCTCTATGAGAGTCTGAAAGGTAAAATCGCTTCACTTTTTTCACCTGTCTTGAAAAAACGTTTTGATTCGCAGAAAAAATACCGATAGTAATGGGAGGCCAAGTGAGGCCGAGATTGAAAAATCAAAAAAGGGCATGAAAGCATTCACACTCACGTTTCTCGAATTTTCACTGGGCTTTATGCTGAGAGTCTGGATGAAGAATTTAAATGACCCCACTCGTCTTGAGAATCGCTTGGATTCGGCCATAAAACCGACATCATCGAAGATTTCGTGAAACCGAGAGTGAAACAGCAAAAGAGGGCGAGAAACCATTCACGTTTCTCGCGTGTTCACGGGTTTTACGATGAGAGTCTGAATAACCAAGTTGAATTACCTTTCTTACCCGTCTTGAAAAACGCTTGAATTCATGGCATAAAACAGACATCATCGAAAAATTCGTGAAACCGAGAATGGAACAGCAAAAAACTGCGAGGTAACCATTCACATTCACGTTTCTCGGGTGTTCACGATTGTGCATCAATTTTACGATGCGAGTCTTGATAACGAAGTTGAGTTATCTTTATTACTCGACTTGAAAACCGCTTGCATTTAAAGCATAAAATACCGACACTGATCGAACACTTGAAACCGAGATCGAGAAATCAGAAACGCTTCTTGGGTGTCTACGGGACTTCTCTATAAGAGTCTGAACGGTAAAATCGCTTCACTTGTATTGAAAAAACATTTTGAATCGGGCAAAAAATATCGATAGTTTTGAAAGACCAAGTGAAGCCGAGACTGAAAAATCAAAGAAGGTCAAGAAACCATTCACACTTACGCTTCTCGGATTTGCACGGGGCTGAATGAAGGAATTGAGTAACCTCACTCGTATTGAGAATCGCTTGGATTCGACCTTAAAACCGACAGCACCGAATAATTCGCGAAACGGAGAATGAAACAGCAAAAAGGGACGAGAAACCATTCACATTCACGTTTCTCGCGTATTCACGGGTATTACTATGAGAGCCTGAATAATGAAGTTGAGTTACCTTTCTTACCCGTCTTGAAAAACGCTTGAATTTAGGGCATAAAACCGACATCATCGAAGATTTCTTGAAACCGAGAGTGAAACAGCAAAACAGGGCGAGAAACCATTCACATTCACGTTTCTCGCGTGTTCACGGGTTTTACGATGAGAGTCTGGATAAACAAGTTGAATTACCTTTCTTACCCATCTTGAAAAACGCTTGAATTCATGGCATAAGACAGACATCATCGAAGAATTATTAACGTTTCTCAGATGTTCGCGATTGTTCACGGGTTTTACGATGCTAGTCTGGGTAATGAAGTTGAGTTATCTTTCTTTCTCGACTTGAAGACGCTTGCATTT